AGGTCCATTTCAGAACGGATTTAGAGGGCACAAATACTGAATGAATTAAATGCAAACATCTCCTTCAGTTGCTGAAGCAATGGATTGTCACCAGGGTGGTGCTGTGTGACACTGGGACTTCTTTCCATGTTCCCAGTGGTTTTCCTTAAGGGCTTCCATGCAATTCAGTGGGAAAATTAATTTCAATTGTTTTGGTTTTTGACTGATATTACCAGATCTTGCACTCTAAATACTCATTTGCATGTAGATATTTATTTTAAGTGAAAAAAAATTGATCTTACAATGCATTTTGCCACTTCTGCCTCTTTCTTCTTTAAAGATTAAAACAAGAACCAAAGCAGGGCTGGCACAGCCTTGTCCCTTTAYACCTCAGTTGAGTTCTATATTATATTTGACATCACATAGGGKTTTTTTCACAACAGCTCCCAAGAATGTAAATAAACCAAGGCTGGGACATCTGGGTTACACGTTTGAGGCAAGCCCTGCATGCAGCAGCACTTAGGGAAAATCTAAACCACAAGGCTCTCCTGTCCCTGAAGAAACACAGGAGGGTGTTAACTAGAGCTGGGTGGATAATTTGTAATGAATAATTTATTACAGGAATTTGGTCTCTCTTGCCCCTCCCCTTCCCTCAGTCAATGATCCGTGCCCCAATTGGGATTTTCWCGTGCACCCACATTATTGGGGACGATTCAGTGGATTATTCCTGTGAATAATCCCGAGGTTATGGCTCATTCTGGGCAGTTTGTCGGGACAATTAGCAGTGGAAATGCAAGTTTGGCATGATMCCAGGTCGTGTGGCATTGGGTGAATTTGTGCAGATGCTCCACATTTGTRCAGCAAATCCAGCCAGGAATGTGCAGGATTCCCCACTTGGTTGATATCCCCCAAAATCCCACTCCCACCTCGGTGTTTCAGGGAATGTTGGTGAGTGAATTTCCTCCTAAATTCATATAGGAGGTACTATATAGGTTCATATATAAATTCATATATAAATTCATATAGGAGGTACATACCAAGTACTGAACTTGGTACAGATTCTGGAGCAACAGAAACTTTGTGGAAAACAGATGAAATTCCAGTCTGGGGAAAGCAAATCCCCTCCAAGTTCAAGGAAGGGAAGGAGTTCCCCAGTGTGAGCCTGGCTGGATTCCCTTTGGAGCTGGGGGATGTGGGAAATGCTCTGGGATGTTCTGTTTGCCCGGAGGAGATGATGGCCCTGGGACACCCTGGGACAGCGTGGGGACACTGCCTCTTGTTGGGGGGCAGATCCAGCTCCAGGCAGGAGCAAAATTCCTTTGGAATTGAGTGGAACCGAGTCCCAGGGCTGAATAATTGAAGATTCCAGCGGGACTGAGGGAGCCTGTGCACTCCCATCCCATCCCATCCCCTCCCCTCCCCACAGGGCGCAGTCCAGGGCTGGGATGGGATTCTCTGCCCCACAATTTGTGTTCCATCCTGCAGGAAGAGCTCCCCAGGTGGGACTCACCCAGTGCAGGGAGGGATGAGCTCTGGGATGTTGGGCTCTGCCTCTAACCCAGCCCTTCCTCCTCAGTTCTTTTGGGCAAGGATTCTGTCTCTGCTCTTTTGTCTGCAGAGCTACTTCCACTCCTTCTTCCACACTGGGAAAATTATTTGATTCTTTGCTTAGAAAAATCACCAGGATTTTGGTGGGAGTCTGATCCAAAATCTTCTGGAGACAAAGGAAATGTCTTTTAAAAATCTTTTTAAAGGTTTGGGTTGAGCAGCTCATTCAGAGCCRCTCATAAAAGTGGGACTGTGGTGAAATTCAGGGAAGTTCGAACCCTAAACACACAGGTGAGGTCAGGCTCTGCTCCCTCTGGGTCTTGTGGCAGCTGCCAGAGACTCAAAGGCACCCACAGGCAGMAGAGGAATCTGACAGTGCCTGGGTTATTCGTGGAAGAGTTGGGATTGATGAATGTCCCACTGCTGCATTTCCCCATCCCCAAAGTGTGGGTGCAGCTGCTGGGTGCTCACACTGAGACAAAACCACCTTCCTTCCCTGACCAGGGAGGCCTCCCCAAGCTCTGGGGAGCAAGAACATTGAAAAGCAGAAGACTGAGGTCCCAATTACTYTCTCTTTGCAGCRTTATTATTGTTATTARTATTATTATTACTATTATTGTTATAATCGTCATCATCTTTCATGTCATTCATTCTCCATAAAACCTCATTCATTTGTCCTATGGGAGGGAGAAATGTTACTTTTGTGGGATGTGTACCTGTGCCCATCAGAAAAAGGGAGATTTGGGCTGATCTCTTCCACAAATCCTCTCCAACAGACGCACAGTGTGCACTAACTTCAGCTTTATTCAGAATTATTTGTTATTTTGTACAGAAAACGCCTCCTCTGGGTGGGTTGGAGCCCGGAGTGGGTGCTGCAGGGTGTTCCACGGGAATTCCCAGGAGGAAAAAAATTCACCAAATCTCCTGTGAGCACCTTCAGGCCACGGGGTCCTTGTCAGGCTTCCCAAAGGCAAACTGAGGGCGAGGGGAGGCGAGGGAGCTGCAGGAGGGGGAGCAGGATTTCATTCTACAACACTGTTTGAACGAGGAGTCACTCGGGTCGGAGCTCAGCTTCTGGGGACTGTCACCTCCATTTACATCGCATTTACAGGGTGTGTCTGATACTGATAACGGATCCCATGTGACCCCGGATAGGGGCACCCCACCCCACAGAACCTCCTGGCAGGCGAGCTTGATCCCACAGAACCTCCTGACAGGGGAAAGTGATCCCACAGAACCTCCTGGCAGGGGAAAATGATCCCACAGAACCTCCTGACAGGGGAAAATGATCCCACAGAACCTCCTGACAGGGGAAAATGATCCCACAGAACCTCCTGATAGGGGAAAATGATCCCCCAGAACCTCCTGACAGGGGAAAATGATCCCACAGAACCTCCTGATAGGGGAAAGTGGTCCCACAGAACCTCCTGACAGGGGAGCTCGACCCCATAGAACTCCTGACAGGGGAACCCAGCCTTCTCTCTGGTACCCAATTCTTGCAGGGGCCTTAATTCAATTGATGACTGAGAATTCATAGAATTAAAAAAATAATTTTGATCCTTTCTGGCTTATTCAATGGAGCTGTTCCAGTATTTCTATTCCTCAGACTTTAGGGGCTGAATGATCTGCRAGTTCTTCATAACTCCCAGTGTATCAGAGGGTGCTAATCTCATCTAAACACAGGGACTTGACTTCASAGAATGAAACATGGAATATAATTGGGAAATTAAATTTTAAAAGAAGACGGCACTGGCATCCTGACTGGAGTGATATGGAAAGAATTRGGGCCACAAGCAAAGCAACATGACCTCTGAATACTGATTTTTTATTTATTCCCATTGCCACGAGCTCCTCCGGGCTGCAGCAGCCCTCGCTCACCTCCTGCCCTGCCAGGCTGTGGTTTCAGATGTGGAAAGGTGGCACAACAATTCGGGGGGTTCATTATTCACCCGCGCTTTTCTTCTGCCCTTGGGCAACATCCAAACGCTTCGTGTCCCCTTTTATCGCCTCCTCCTCGCACACTCAGCGCTTCTGCTTTCGCTTCCCGTGCCCTGCCCTCCCCGAGGCAGCCCGGGGCCTGGGTGAGCCTCCCTCCCTTCCTGCTCCTGGAGTTCCTTCCTGCTCCTGAAGCTCCTTCTTCTTTTCCTGGAGATTCTTTCCTTCTCCTGGAGCTCCTTTTTCCTCCTGGAGCCCCTTTCCTAMTCCCGGAGCTCCTTCCTGCTCTTGGAGCCGTTTTTCTTCTTCTGGAGTCTCTTTCGTTCTCCTGAAGCCCTTTTCCTTCCCCTGGAGCCCCTCTCCTTCTCCTGGAGTTTCTTTCCTCCTCCTGAAGCCCCTTTCCTGTTCCTTGATCCCTTTTCCTACTCCTGGAGCCCTTTTCCTTTCCCTGGAGCCTCTTTCCTCCTTTTGGAGCCTCTTTCCTTCCCCTGGAGCCTCTCTCCTTCTCCTGGAGTCTCTTTCCTCCTCCTGGAGCCCTTTTTCTACTCCTGGAGTCCTCTTCCTTTCCCTGGAGCCTCTTTCCTCCTTTTGGAGCCTCTCTCCTTCTCCTGGAGTCTCTTTCCTCCTCCTAAAGCCCTTTTCCTGTTCCTGGAGCCCTATTCCTGCTCCTGGAGCCCTCTTTCCTTTCCCTGGAGCCTCTCTTCTTCTCCTGGAGCTCCTTTTCCTGCTCCTGGAGCCCTTTTCCTCCCCCTGGAACCCTTTTCCTTCCCCTGCAGCCCTTTTCCTCTCCCTGGAGC